TTTGTTGCCCAGAGCTGGGCCTCTGTGCCCGTCCCACGCGGATCAGGGGTTGAAAACCGGCTGTCTAGGGGCTGTTTCTAGCTGTGCGTGCCCAGAGAGGAACCCAGGACCTTGGGGGCGGGCTGTACCTGTTGGAATTGGAGCCGTTCAGCTTTGTTGCCCAGAGCTGGGCCTCTGTGCCCGTCCCACGCGGATCAGGGGTTGAAAACCGGCTGTCTAGGGGCTGTTTCTAGCTGCGCGTGCCCAGAGAGGAACCCAGGCCCTTGGGGGCGGGCTGTACCTGTTGGAATTGGAGCCGTTCAGCTTTGTTGCCCAGAGCTGGGCCTCTGTGCCCGTCCCACGCGGATCAGGGGTTGAAAACCGGCTGTCTAGGGGCTGTTTCTTGCTGCGCGTGCCCAGAGAGGAACCCAGGCTCTTGGGGGCGGGCTGTACCTGTTGGAATTGGAGCCGTTCAGCTTTGTTGCCCAGAGCTGGGCCTCTGTGCCCGTCCCACGCGGATCAGGGGTTGAAAACCGGCTGTCTAGGGGCTGTTTCTAGCTGCGCGTGCCCAGAGAGGCTAAATTATATTTTTTTTATCAAAAGTCTGGTTTCCATCTGTCACCTTATAATTCCATCAATTTAACCCAAGTTACGCTCTGTTCTCCCCTTTTGTAACTGCCACTGTTTTGGATTTGTTTGTTTGGTTTGGTTTTTAGGTGGGGGGGCGTGGGGGCAGAGGGGTCACACGGCAGTGCTGGGGATTGTTCCTGGCTCTGCACTCAGGAATCACTCCTGATGGTCTAGGGGAGCCCAGATGCCCGGGATAGTACAGCCCTCCCGCTGTTATGTCTCCTCAGGTCCTACCACTGTTTTGTTTTTGTAGTCTGAGTTTATTTTGTTCATCCATTTGCTTTTTTTATTTTACCATAAGTGGTATTATATTGTGAATTATATCATGTTTCTCTTTCTCTGTATGAATTATATTTTTTAAAGGTCATCAATGTTTATTCAGCCAACAGAATACAGTGACCGACTTTAAACTGGGGTAAAGATTTTTTTTCCAACAAAAATATTTTTAAAATGGTAGCACTATAAATAATGCTCTTGGAGGCCTGCTGTACACCTCATTTCCCATTTCTTTGCTTTCTCTCGCCACCCCCCCCCCCCCTTTTTTCCCCAATTTAGAAAGATGTGGAGCGATAGCACAGCTGGTAGGGCGTTTGCCTTGCACGCGGCTGGTGCAGCTGATCTGAGTTCGATTCTTCCGCTCCTCTCGGAGAGCCCGGCAAACTACCGAAAGTATCTCGCCTGCACAGCAAAGCCTGGCAAGCTACCTGAGACATACTCAGTATGCCAAACACAGTAACAACAAGTCTCACGACGGAGACGTTACTGGGCCCGCTCGAGCAAATTGATGAGCAATGGGAGGGCAGTGCAGTGCAGTGCAGAAAGATGTGAGAGGAGAGAAAGAAAGGAAACAGTGTGTTCAATAGAGAATACAGGCTTTTTCCAACTCTGGAAAAAGCAAGTAGAGAGACAAGCAAGCGAGATGCATGTTGAAGGGAGAACACCTGGACTGGCTCTTCAAGCCCCACTCCCCACTTCTAATGAGGAATTGTGGCACAGTTTCAATGGAATCTGGAGTCTGACAAACTTGAGTTTGAATCTTGGTCTGGCAGCTCTGATTTGAGGCAAATTTCTTAATCTCCCTGAGCCTTGGTTCCTGTATTACTTAGTTCCTTTGCTAACAGTTGATTAATTGAGAAATCTTTATTTAATCAACAAGCATTAGGAGTTAAAGGTCTACCACAAAAGAGTGGACTCTCTTTTCCAGTACTTAAGAGGTTATTTTACTTCCTGATAGCAGTGTTCTTGTGTTGATACATACCGTTATTGCGTAGGAGTTGTGTACACTTTAAAAACATGTTCAAGACCCGAGTTTTGTCCCTCTCTCTGCGTGGCCCCACCCTCACCCCAGCTCACCCAGGTGTCGCTCTAGGGACTCCTTAACTTCTCCCAGGCCTGGCCTGCCCCTCAAGGAGATGTTTTTTTGGTCCTGTGTCACAGTTTTCCAAATATCTTCCTACTTTATTTGAAACACATGGATACATCATAGTTAACAAGACCTTATTGAGTACTACTACTTCTTAGGCGTTCTTTTCGGTACTGTACATGAATGAGCTAATTTAATCCTTTAAGAGTTAGGAATCGTTGCTGTGCTCATTTTTCAGAATAGAAAATAAAAGATGATATAACAGATCAGTGAAAGCAAGAGCAGTTTATGAATCAATAAAATTGACTATGGTCATACAAAAAAAGAGAGAATGAACCCTTATTAAAAAATAGAAATGCGGGGCTGGAGAGATAGCACAGCGGGTAGGGCGTTTGCCTTGCACGCAGCTGACCTGGGTTCGATTCCCAGCATCCCATATGGTCCCCTGAGCATCGCCAGGAGTAACACCTGAGTGCAGAGCCAGGAGTAACCCATGTGCATCGTCAGGTGTGACCCAAAAAGCAAATAAATAAATACATAAAAATAAAAAATAGAAATGAAAAATAGCTATGATTCTTTACATAAATACAAAGAATAAGAGATTAATATGAATATTTAAATGAAAAGTATATCCAAATGAAAATTGAAAACCAAGAATGAAACATCTTTTACTCACAATATTCCAAACAGGAAGAAAACAGAAAATTTGAACAAGCACAGAAGTCAAAGTAGTAATCAAGTTGCCCTAAGAACAAAAGCCCAGGGCCAGTGGTTTCTTCAAAAAGAAAAAAAAAATAAAAATAAGAAAAGCAAGGCAAATGCCCTACTCGCTGTGCTCTCGCTCCAGCCCCCAAAAATGGCAAGGAGGGTGAAAAGATAAAAAATATTTGTAAAACACATTAATGGATTCTTTCATCTAGAATTTATAGAAAACGCTTCCAAGTTATCTAGAATTCACAGAGAAAGTACTCTTTCTTACAACTCAGTAAGACCAACAATCGGGACAAAAGGGCAGCAGATCTAAGGGTATAGATACATAAAGAAAGATCGCACCCCAGTCACGGTCCCTGTCTCACATACAAATCCTGACCACATCGCCCTCTGCCAAATATTGCCTTACAGATCATGCACAGCGTGAGAATTGATCTTTTATATGTGAATATATGCTTAAAAATATATAACTGCTGGGACCAGAGAGATCATATCAGGGGTTAGCATCATCCCTTGCATGTGACTGACCAAGGTTTGTTCCCTGGCACCTGGGTCCTTAAGCATTGCTCAGTTCTGGACATTAATGGCCTAGGAAATGCCCCCGGCACTGCTCAAGTGACCCGGACAATCCCAGCGAGGTTGACTGAGACTCACCAGGACCAGCTCCTGGGACTTTTGAGTACTGCTTGGATTTTCTGTCCTAAATTTACGCATTGTAAATACTGTCATTTGATATAATAATAGTGTGCTATATGGTAATCAAACACTTATGAAAAAATTTCTAAAACAATGTGAAGAATCATATCATTTACAATTTTTTCTCTGGCTAAATAGAAGACCATTTCTCATGTCTGCTTCTGAATTCAGTCAATTATATTTTGATATGCCATGTAGCCTCTAGAAAACTGTTGACTACTTGTGAGAGGATTAGAAAGTCAAATATGTTTAAATGTTATAATGACAATAGTTTCAATGTTAGAAATCCCACTGAAAAATGTATCTGGGGAGTTACGTTAATGCTGTTTTGACAACCTCCAGTATAAGAACTTATTGATTAGTTTCTTCTTTAATTCACTTGGAATTTTATTTGATGAATATTGTTTTTGACCCTTCCAGTAAATACCCATCAGTGGGATAGCTGGCCATAAGTTGTTCTTTTTGAGAAGTTACCATATTCTTATCTATATTGTTTACATCAGATTTACATTGCTACCAGGCAGACTATGTGATTTTTCTCTTCTCTTTGTTCTTGCCATTACTTGATGCTTTTTCAGCACTAGCTATTCTGACAGTGATGAGGTGATTTAATTGTGATTTTGATTTCCATATACCTAATAATAGATTTGAACATCTCTGTTCATGTGACATATATGTAACATTTTAGGATGACAATAGATGCATTACGTAGACCGGGGATTTGGAAGCTGTTATCCGTGAACCAGATCCAACCAGTTTTAGATTTTGGTAATATTTTGTTTATTTTGGTAAAGAGGCACACTTAGTTGTTACGACTGCTGCTGCTTCCTCTGTAAGAGTTCAGTGTTTGTGACAGAGATCAAATGGCCTATAAGCCTGACGATATTTACCATTTTACCCTTTAAAGTTTATCGATGACCCTCAAGTGATAGGTTACAACAGTTTCTGATGTTGCATAAAATGCATCAGTAGCAGGATTGAAAGTTTTCTTAGTGGTAAAAGAGGACAAAATAACTTATCACATCTTATTGGAGAGTTAGGCTTAATCTTATTGACTTGGTAATGATACTACTTGTAATTTCGTATTTTTTTAATTAGTTTTTGTTTGGGGGCCATACCTGGCAGTGTTCAGGGCTTACTCCTCATTCTTTGCTCAGGGATCACTCATGGTGAGGTTTGGGGGACCACATGGGGTGCTGGGAATTAAACCCTGATTGGCAATGTGCAAAGCAAGCTCTATCTCAGGACCCTACTTCTTAAATTCTTTTTAACGAGAGTCAAAAGTTAAGTTTGTTACCAAAGAGAAAATGTGTTATTATTTAGCACATTAAATAAAGACACTTAAATATTTATTTCAAATGGCTGTTTTTATAATATTAAAAATTTTTAAGGGACTGTTAAGCACAATCTTTTTTTTTTTGCTTTTGGGTCACACCTGACCATGCTCAGGGGTTCTCCTGATTCTGTACTTAATAATTACTCCTGGTGGTGCTTAGGGGACCATATGGGGTGCTGGGGATCCAACCCAGGTTGACCACATGCAAGGCAAACGCCCTACCTGCTGTACTATCACTCCAGCCCAAGCGCAGTCTTAAATGTTTGACTTTTTTTTCTCTTTCAGGATGATCTTGAAGACCTTATTATTAATTGGGATGAAAGCAAAAGCATTGGTGATGTTTTTCTTAAATATGTAAGTAATTTGTAAGTTTTCATATTGAAATGTCTCATTAAGGGCAGGAAATGAAGTTACGTGGGATTTTTTTTGTTTGGTTGGTTTTTTGTTTTGTTTTGTTTGGAGGCCATTACTCCTGGCTGTGTACTCAGGGATCACTCCTGGCAGTGCTTGGGGGACTATGTGGGATCACTGGTGATTGAACTTGGGTCAACAACATGCAAGGCAAGCCCCTTACCCTCTGTACTATCTCTCTGGCCCCTATGGTTACCTGTTTAATAAGAGCTTTGGCTCGGTAGTATAAGTTCATCCCTTGTCTGCATGAGACTTGGGTTCAATTCTGGCACCATCTACACATAAAAATAATGAAATAAATGAGTTTTTAAGAATTTGACATAGTTCTACCTATAATATATATTGGTTCTATTCTAATCCTCTAAAGTAGCCTTTTTCTATATAAGTAACATTTTCTTATTAGTCCTAAGTCATCATTAGGAATACTGATCATCTGTTGATGTTAATTATTATATATGAAATCATTTGCCCTTCATAAATGGCCATGCACAATGATTTCTTTTTAAATTTTGTTTTTTTCCCCCTCTTCTCAATTGATGTCACTATGTGCTGTACATAAAGACTTCTAATAAATTGCTTCTTTATGATGATGATATCTACATACATTAGTTAAATTCATTGGAAGGAAGTATTGTAAATAGGATTTATAATTTTCACAGCCTTGGATTTTTCACACAGATTTTGTTTTTTGGGGGCCTCCTTCTAACCTTAACCATATAGTCTTAATTTTTCTTTTTCTTTTCATTTTTGTGTTTTGATTATACTTTGGCAGTGCACAGGAAACCACGTGTGGTGCCAGTAATTGAATCATGGTCTCTTGTAGGTGAAGAATGTGCTATAATTCATTAAGCTCTCTCTTCAGCCCTCAATTATTTTTTTCTGGGTGGTTGAAGATTTAAAATATGCAACTTATTGTTTTAAACCTGTATATTTTAATTTACATTATTATAAGTAATGTGTTTTAAAATTTTACATCCAGTATGTCAGATTGTGATTTTTCATCTTCAAGTTTTAATTTTTAGGCTTGGCATGCATAATGAATTATGCGTTATTTTTTTCTCTTATTTCTTCCTAGTCAAAAGATTTGGTGAAAACTTACCCTCCCTTTGTAAACTTCTTTGAAATGAGCAAAGAAACAATTATTAAATGTGAAAAACAGAAACCAAGATTTCATGCTTTTCTGAAGGTAATGGATATTTCTTCCACATACAAATCACAGAATTATTAAGAGATTCATATTGTTAGTAAAAATTTATGTATTTGTGTATGAATACTTTGATGTTATTTGATGGTTTTAGCTGTACCTTAGTGTGGCAGTCATAATATTTAACACCAAATTTGATGTACTGTGGAATAGAATCCAAGAGGCAGCTGAGATAAGAATGTTGTGTATGTTTATTATTAATATTTTTAAGTTATACGTACCTTGGGTTGGAGTGATAGCACATCAGTAGGGCGTTTGCCTTGCGTGCAGCCAGCCCGGCCAAGCCGGGTTCTATTCCTCTGCCCCTCTCAGAGAGCCCCGCAAGCTACTGAGAGTATCTCGCCCGCATGGCAAAGCCTCGCAAGCCACCCGTGACATATTCAATATGCCAAACACGGTAACAACTAGTCGCAAAAATGGAGATGTTACTGGGCCCGCTCAAGCAAATCGATGAACAACGGGAGGACATTGCATTACATTGCATTTTACGTACCTTAGTTTTCAAACACCTGAAATTTTGGCAGTGGTATTTTATTTTGTCTTTAAAGATCTTTTATTACTGCCTTTTTTTACATAGTCTGAACAATATTAATATTTTAAAACCTTTCTTATAAGTGGGGCTCGAGTGATAGCACAGCGGGTGGGGCGTTCGCCTTGCACGTGGCAGACCCAGCCAACCGAGGTTTGATTCCTTTGCCCTTCTCGGGAGAGCCCAGCAAGCTACCGAGAGTATCTTGCCCGCATGGCAAAGCCTGCAAGCTCCCTGTGATGTATTCGATGTGCCAAACACAGTAACAAAAAGTCTCACGATGGAGACTTTACTGGGCCCGCTCGAGCAAATCGATGAACAACGGGAGGACAGAACTACAGTGCTTATCAGTGATGTATATTTGAAAGAAATATGAACTGACATTGAATAGTATGTAGAAAACGCTCTGTTTAAGAAATGCTAAACCCTTTGACTTTCCAGGCGATCATTTCAGGCCTTGAAAGACAATTTCGTTATAGTAATAGACCACTAGCACCTCGCCTCCTCTATTAGCTACTGTTAGATCATCCCACCTCTTCTATTACCCTTTTTTTTTTTTTAGGGCTCTGGTTATGGGGTGGAACATAATAGTTTAGGATGTCTGATCTTTGCAGAATACCTTTTGAAAAAAAATTTTCAATACATTTTTTTTTTTTGCAGATAAATCAAGCTAAGCCAGAATGTGGACGACAAAGCCTTGTGGAACTTCTTATCCGACCAGTTCAGAGGTTACCCAGTGTTGTATTACTTTTAAATGGTATCTGTCCAATATTTTGAGTATTTTGTGTTGTTTGTTTATGTATTTTGACCCATGCCCAGCAGTGCTCAGGGATTACCCCTAGCCCTTTGGTACTTGGGAGACTGTGTGATGCCAGGGATAGAACCCAGATAGATCTTTTATATGCAGTGCTTGTGTTCATTTCTTTAAGCTATCTTCAGCCCCACTTTTGCATATTTTTATGAAAATTTTTTTTGTTTTTAGGTAGTTGGAACTCTCATATGAAATATTTTCTTAGGTTTAAAGTTGTATATATTTGTTCTTATGCTATGCTGCCACCTTTTCCATAGAATCTTCTTCTAGAGTATATGGAAAACTCTCGAAACATAGATATCCTTACTTCCTTCCTTCATCTACAGAGATTGGAAGGGAGTTTTCAGCAAAGGGTTCATTGATTCCCCCTTTTCCTTTTGTTGCTGCTGTTACGGTAACAGTCGTGTCTTACGTGTCTGGTTGCGGTTCTAGCACGGTGAGTCTTGGGACTTACTGGAGTTCCACACTTCATTGCATTGCTTACACAGGAACTTCCCCCAGGCCAGTTCCATTTCACTGGGGTGCTCGCACACAGTGCTGAGGTGCTCGGGCATATGCTTGCTGGGTGGGGGGGTTGGACATGTTTAGTGGCACTACTTGCCAGGTGTTGGAGCTTTAGTTGGAGTGCTTATCTGCGTGCTGGAGTGTTTCCAGACACCTCGCTTTGTACCAGAGAGCTGACTCTTTTCTGTGTCTCTGACAGTTAAGCTGCTGGTCCTACCACGCCGGGTAGCATCAGGGATCAGAATCACAACCTCACGAGGCTGATGTTTTTTCTGCAGTTGCATACGCCAGACCTCCAAAATTATTTTTTATGAATAAATTTTGCCTGTGATACAAGAAAATCAAATGTATATGTTTGTATTTGGTTTACTAAGCTAGTGAATATTTCTCACACAGTGTTAGTTTTTTTTTCTTTTTTTAAAAATTTTTATTAGTGAGACACACTGAGGTACAGTTGTAGACTTATAGATTTTTACGCTTGGGTTTCAATTATACAATGATCAAATACCCATCCCTCCACCAGTGCCCATTTCCCACCACCACAGATCCCAGTATCCCTCCCTCCCACCCATCCCCATCCCCCCTCCCCAACCCTGCCTCTGTGGCAGGGCATTCCCTTTTGTTCTCTCTCCTTTTGGGTGCTGTGGTTTGCAAAAGAGGCAATGGGTGGCAATCAGGTTTGGTCTGTAGTCTACTTTCAGCATGTTAGTTTTTATATCTTTATACTTAGTATAAAAACAAATGTCAGTTATATATGCACATATATATGTGGAGACTTATATGTGTAGATATATATAAGCAATTAACAATACTGTTTATTGTTGAGCTATTTTGTTATAATATTTTTTATTAACATGAACTGTAATAGTAACCTTGAGGCTGTCTAAAGCAGTTTAGGATTAGTAGCTTATAAAATTTTTCCATTCTTTAAAGCTGTTCTAGTTTAGAGATTTTAGGAATATATGAATAAGCAAATTTAACTTTATAATTTACTAGTTTTTTTCTTATATTCATTGTTGTTTCATTCAGCGTTATAAGCAGTCCTCATATATTTTTGAAAACAAATTTGCTCTCAGCCTTTTTCTTGTTTTTAAAAAAAATAGGGACTAGTGAGCAATATATTAAGTAGAACATGATATAGGAAACACTATAAACAACCTGGATAAGAAGAGGCTGAATATACGCTTTTCATGAACCTCCCAAATCTGCTTTTAAAAACATCAAATGATTTGTGTCATGGAAATATGATATATAACATATATAATGATTTTTAGCTAGTTGAGTTTCATGTTTTCATTCAGCTCTATGTGGAGTTTTCATTCAGCTCTATGTGGAGAGAATTTGAAGACTTAAGGAGATCCTAAACTTTACTGTAAGGGATTGCATCTCTGTTCTAAAATCTACTATATCTTCTGAAAGTTGTTAAAAACTGATGTGGAGACCTTAGCAAATGTCTCAAGATCTCTTAATCATGCAAAAAAAAATTTTTTTTTACTCTATACAGATCTTAAGAAGCATACAGCTGAAGAAAATCCTGACAAAAGCACTCTCGAAAAAGCTATTGGATCACTAAAGGAAGTCATGACGTAAGTTTATTATTTCTGGGATCTGTTGTTTGTAAAACTTGGAATGGAATCAATAGAATAGTCATAAATTAGAGAAAAAATATCAATGGCAAATTTTTATTAAAATAACTAATTTATGGATTGATAAAAGTTATAAATTGAGAAATATCAATAGAATAATTTATTTAGCTAATATGATAGCACAGCGGTAGGGCGTTTGCCCTGCGCGAGGCCAGGCTGGCCGAGCCAGGTTCAATTCCTCCGTCCGTCTCGGAGAGCCCGGCAAGCTACCGGGAGTATCATCCGCGTGGCAAAGCCTGGCAAGCTCCCTGTGACGTATTCGATATGCCAAACACAGTAACAAGTCTCTCAATGGATACCTTACTGGGCCCGCTCAAGCAAATCAATGAACAACAGGAGGACAGTGCTACAGTGCTACAATATTGTATTAAAATAAATATTTAAAGAATTTGTTCATAAGGAACGTTTCTGAATATTTTTGATTATTATGAATCGAAGGTAATAATGGCTTGATTTTTTTTAAATATATATATATATACACACACACATTTTATGCAGGAGTATTGTTACTTATTCAGCTGATTGAATTGGGCATGAACTCCACATTACTTTTTAAAAACATTTATTTTTGATTGGCTATCCGTGAGATAGAGCATTACAAAGGGGCTCATAATTGGGTTCCAGTCCTACAGTGATCCAGCCCCATCCCTCCACCCGTGTGCATTTCCCACCCCCCAGTGTCCCCTGTTTCCCTGCCACCGTCCCCCTCCACCTCCCCCTCCACCCCTCTGTGGGAGGCACGTTCCTTCTTGCTCTCTCTCTCCCTCTCCTTTTCCTTTTGTGTGTTATGATTTGCAATGCAGGTGCTAAAGGGCCATGGTGTTTGTTCAGGGCATTCGGTATGTTTTGACATTATTTCATGTTTATCAGGCAGACTTTTTGCGTTTTATTTATTATTTTGTGGGCTAGGGCAATAGTTTTGCTGAATACCACATGGTTATTTTATTTTATCATGTTATTTCCATTAGTCCTTTTAACAAACAAATGAAGTTAGACTTTGGTATTACCATATTTTCACAAAGAAACTGAGGGCATATTACTTGCCCAGTTTTATTTTTTTCAGTGTGTAGAATTACTCTACCATTATTATTTGATGGTAGAATATGCTATTACTTAGATATAACATTGTGGTCCAGAAAAAGATAATTTCATAATCTAAAGTAAAAAATAAGCTAGTCCTTGACATGTCACCTCATTATGGTGTCACACTGGCTGCTCTAGGTATAAGCCAGGTTGATAAGACATGTACAAGGATTTCTTTATTCAGCAAATTTTCTGAGAAATTATAATCTTATAGATACCTACCCAAACTCCCATGCTCACAGTAGATTTTCTTTTTTTCTTTTTTCTTTTTTTTTTTTTTTTTTACTTTTGGGTCATACTCGGTGATAGACAGGGGTTACTCCTGGCTTTGCGCTCACGAATCACTCCTGGCAATGTTCAGGGGACCATATGAGTTGCTGGGAATCGAACCCAGATCATCCACATGCAAGGCAAACGACCTCTCTCTCCAGCCCCTCACCGTAGATTTTCAAGAATCTACCATTTAATATTGGACTGTGCTGATTTATAAATGTAGGATTTTACCATGTTTGAATTCTTGAATGCTTATATATATAGTTGATGAAAACAATTATTAATGCTTACTATGGTTTATTAAAACCATAATTTGTTAGATAAAAGAAATGAGCGCTTTAATTAGCTAGTTTCTTCCATTTAAGCAAACAAAACAAGCCCACTAAAATTGGATTCCAATAGCATTAGTTATTGAAGATTAGCATTTTGATTCATTAATAGATATATACTTTAATAATTTAAGTATGTTTTTAACACTTTTTAAAAAATATAATGTGATTAATTTAGCAATTAGAAATTGCCATAAAGCCATCCTGACAGTCAACCTGAGGACTATGTCCGTCTCCTCCCGGAGTTGGCTCTGACCCTTTAGGAATCGTTTTTCTTTGCTGCTTCCTTTCCCACCCATCCCTCTAATTGGCATTTCCTCACACTTATCTAAATGAAATCACATAGTGTATTATTATTATTTTTTTAAATTTTTATTAATGAAAACACCATGAGGTACAGTTGTTGACTTACAAATTTTTGTGCTTGGGTTTCAGTTGTACAGTGATTGAACACCCATCCCTCCAACAGTGCCCATTCTCCACCACCAATGATCCCAGTATCCCTCTCATCCCCCCCCCCCATAGTATATTGTTTTATGCCATTTTTTTTAACTTAGCATATTGTTTTGTAATTTTTTTTTTTAAATTTTTATTAGGGAAACACCGTGAGGTACAGTTGTAGACTTACAAATTTTTGTGCTTGGGTTTCGGTTATACAATGATTGAGTACCCATCCCTCCACCAGTGCCCATTTTCCACCACCACGGATCCCAGTATCCCTCCGAACCCCCATTCCCCCCCCCCCCCCCATCCCACCCCGCCTCTGTGGCAAGGCACTCTCTTCTGTTCTCTCTCTCCTTTTGGGTGCTGTGGTTTGCAAAAGAGGCATTGAGTGGCAATCATGTCCAGTCTATAGTCTACTCTCAGCATGCGTCTACCATTTTGGGAGCATCCTCCCAACACCCTTTACTTGGTGTGCTCCCTTCTCTATCTGAGCTGCATTTTTCTGTAGCTTGTGTGACTGGCCTCCAAGCCATAGCGTGAACCTCCTGGTATTTATCTCGGCTATTCTTGGGTGTTAGTCTCCCATTTTGTTATTATATATTCTCCAGTTGAACGTAATCTTTCTATGTCTGTCCCCCTCTTTCTGACTCATTTCGCTTAGCATGACTCTTTCCAGGTAGTACCACTTGTATGTATATTTCATGACTTCATCTTTTCTAACAGCTGCATAGTACTCCATTGTGTAGATGTACCAAAGTTTCTTTGACCAGTCATCTGTTCTTGGGCACTCAGGTTTTTTCCAGATTCTGGCTGTTGTAAAGAGTGCTGCAGTGAACAAACAATTGCAGATGTCACTTCGACTATACTTTTTTGCCTCTCCGGGATATATTCCCAGGAGTCATATTGCTGGGTCAAATAGGAGCCCTATTTCTAATTTCTTTAAAATCGTCCATACTGTTTTCCAAAAGGGCTGAATCAGTTGGCATTCCTGCCAGCAGTGAAGGACAGTCCCTCTCTTGCCACATTTGTTATTTTGGATGTAATTCTGTAATTTTGTATTTTGTAATTTTTAAAAAATTACTTTTAGCAATATTTAGTTTCCTTATATTGTTTCCTGTATCATGGACATGCACCGTTTGTCTATTCATGTGTTGGTGGACACATGGTGTTTCCTATTTCTAGATATTATCAATAAAAATGCTGCAAAGGCTCATGAACTGGCCTTTGTATGTGCACATTGTTTCATTTCTCTTAGCCTAAATCCTGGGGGTAGGAATGACTTGATTCATACAGCAGTGTAATATGTGATTTTTTTTAAAATAAAAGGAAACCACTTATGTATTTTTAAATTTTATTTTCTTTTTTATAAAGTAGTTTACAATATTTCCAATCCTACCACCGTCACCCTTCCTTCCCACTACCATATTTTGAATGTTTCCATTCCCAACCCCAACCCCTGCCCCAAAGCAGAACCGAAATAATTTATTCTGTAGTGTTTGTTATAAATAGACCACTGAAAGTGCTCCCCAAAAACTTACCTTAGGGGAGGGTGTGTGAAGAGTATCATATTTCACCTAAGGGCCATTAAGCCCATCTATAAGATACTACTAATACGTTGCTAAATTAAACCCCATCTAATATGGTGTGCTACTCTTAAAATATGAGTGGTGCGATGTATGAACTAAATGGTTGCTGGGTCCAGGATTGTGGCTGCCAGGGCTGGGTCCCTTGGGGGCAGGGAGGGGTAGGGAGGATCCTTATCCACCGCCCTCTGGGGTGCCCCAGTGAAACAGCCTGGCACGGGTTCCATCAGCATGGCTGTGGCAGTGTCGTAGGAAACTGTTTCTAACTTGAGCGGATTACCATCTATACACACTTCACTTCATAATGATCATGGAGTTTTATTTTAGTGGAGGAAGGAGACCAGCAGTTCAGTGTGGAGGTCCAATCTGGGGTGCTGCTTTGGTCATCCCGGGCCATCCCCAGGGATTCGTGAGAGGAGCGGGGGGCAGGTAGTGCTGGGAGTTGAATCAAGGTAGGGTGCCTACCATGTACCCTATCTCCTGACACCACCCTCCTTTCTGTCACAGATTTCATCCAATTTTTGCCAAAAGGGTTTGGCCATTATGTAAAGTTAGTTTTTATTAATAGTCTTGGTATTTTCTAAAAAAGAGGATACAACCGTTGCACAGTGAAATGTTGTGATCTTAGCTATCAAAACATCAAGTTTTGCTTTTGTTGATTTTTTCCCTTTTATTCTCTTTGATTAATTTTCACTCTGGTCATAATAGTTTGTAATTTTCTTCTTGCCTTAGATTTAGATTGCTCTTTGTTTCCAGAGTGTTAAAATGGACAGTTACTGATTTCATTAGAGTGAAAAGGTGGTTCTGATTTGAGAATATTTTTAAATTCCCATTTATGCTATAAATTTCCCTTCAAAAACTACTGTAGCTTTAGAGTGTAAATTTTGGTATACTATATTTGATGCTTTTGTTTATCTAAAAGTTTTCCTAATTTCCCTGGTGATTTCTTCTCTACCTATTTCAGACATTTTATGAATTTCTAAGTTTCCTTTTTAAGAGCTAATTTTGAATTCATTCTGCTTTGTTAATATAGATATTTGTGGCCTTTCGATCATTTCAAACTTTATGAGGTTATTTTGTGACCTACTCTAAGAATGCTCCCATGTATTCTTGAGAAGCAGAGATGTGCTGTTGTGGTATAGAGTATTTTCAGTTTGTTTTTGTCTGAATTTAAAGTGTGTCTCTACAGACAGTATGTAATTGGGTTTGTCTTATTTGCTCACTATCTCATAGGAATTGCCTTCAGGGTCTGGATAACCGTTAGCTTATAAAATTTGTAGTTTAGGGCTTTTTAGGTTGTGTATATTGAGTATATACGGTAAAAAAATGGAGTATAATATGGAATATATTAAAACATCTAAATCATTTCTTGGAGTTTATTTTAATGTAGTGGGATATTTTCAGGAAACATATCATACACTAGCATAAAGGACTTTTCTGGGGAACATGAAATGTACGTATATGTGTTTTTATATTATTTTAAATCTTAGCTAAATAAACTTATTAATTTTAGGCATATTAATGAGGATAAAAGAAAAACTGAAGCCCAGAAACAGATTTTTGATGTTGTTTATGAAGTAGACGGATGCCCGGTAAGTTCTCATTTTTATTATTTTCTCTTTTTGCTAGAGTCTTCAGTTTTAATATAAACAGCATCTTTGCACTGCTTAATTTAAATTGCAACTTTTAAAACTTGCCATCAAGTAATCTTTTTCATCCATACCTTCAATCTCGACAGGCTAACCTTTTATCTTCCCACCGAAGCTTAGTTCAACGAATAGAAACAGTTTCCCTAGGTGAGCACCCCTGCGACCGAGGAGAACAAGTGACTCTCTTTCTCTTCAATGATTGCTTGGAGGTAAAATTGTTCTTCCTATAGCATAAAAACACTGCTCATTTGTGTTTAAAGCCATGCTCAGACACATAATGTGTAAAATAAACTCATGTTTACTATAAGGTTTAAGTGAATTTTAATTGATAAAAGTTGGTCTTGGGCTATTAACAGAATACTATTAGGTGAAAACCTAAAAGGTAAATGTATGATAAGTTTCTGACTTCAAATCGAAGTAAAAATGAACATTTAGTTTATTTTAAAATAATTAAATTTAGACTGAGAATTTTAAGAATTTGTATCTAAATTTATCTAAATTTTGAAATATAAGTATGAGCCTTTTATTTTGAAATAGAAGTAGAATTTTCCAGAAGAGAAGCAGCCAGAGACAAACTTTGGTTATTTATTATGGATTGTCCCCCCGATTCTTCCTTTAGCAGCAAATTTTAGAGTGAGTGGTGAGTTTATAAGATGGGCTGCCACGATTCCAATCTTAAGATTCCATCTAATTTAATGTTTTCCCTGTTGGAGTGGGTAATTTGGATCATCGCTGGCTTGCTTCTGACTCTGAGTAGTGATCGCCCGTGGTGGGGCGTCGGGGAGCAGTGCGGGGGTAGAACTGGGGCAGCTGCTCTCGGGGCAAGCGTTCGCCGCCCCTGCTTCTCTCTCTGGCCCTAGTAGGTCTATTTTTAACCTTGAACCTGGATTTCACAATGATTTTCTAAATTGAGAATGTGATTTATTTTTTTTTAGAGAATTCTTTAGTAAATTTGAAATAATAAGGTCACCAGAGAACTCCCAGGAGTGATTTCTGAGTCCCTCTGAGTACACAGCGGGTAGGGCGTCTGCCTTGCATGCAGCCAACATGGCTGACCCGAGTTCGATTCCTCCGCCCCTCTCGGAGAGCCCGGCAAGCTACCGAGAGTATTCGATATGCCAGACACAGTAACAACAAAGTCTCCAATGGAGACGTTACTGGGTCCGCTCTAGCAAATCGATTATCAACGGGAGGGCCTTTACTTTACTTTTACTATTAGTGAAACACCATGAGGTGCCGTTGTAGACGGTAATTTTTTGTGCTTGGGTTTCAGTTATACAATGCTCAAATACTCATCCCTCCACCAGTGCCCATTCCCCACCTCCAATGCTCCCAGCATCTCTCCTACCCCCCACCCCCCACCCCACCTCTCCCCTGTGGCAGGGCCTTCCCTTTTGTTCTCTCTCTCCTTTTGGGTGCTGTGGTTTGCAAAAGAGGCGCTGAGTGGCAAGCATGTTCAGCCTATAGTCTACTTTCAGCATGCTTCTCCCATTCTGGAAGGATCCTCCCAACACCCTTTATTTGGTGCTCCCTTCTCTGTCAGAGCTCCCTTTTCCCCTAGCATGTGTGGCTGGCCTCCAAGCCATGGAGCAAACCTCCTGGTACTAATCTCAGCCACTCTTGGGTGTTGGTTTACTATTTTGTTGCTCCAAAAAACTTTTTTTAAAAAGATGCTGTGTTTTAGCATGAAAAATGGATAAAGTCTATATGACCGTTGATGATCAGAAACTAGCTTTTGGTTTAAGGTTATAGTCTCCTTTCTATATTTATATTAGTTTTGTATTTTTCCTCTAACCTACTAGCATTTTTGTTATCAGTATTAACAGGATCAGCTTTTCAGGGCTGGGAGGTTGCCTGGCAATCCTGGTACCACATTGTCTTCTGAGCATTGCTGGGCACATTGCAGAGGCCCCGAGCATCACTGTGGTGATCTGGGAAGTCCCCAGCACCACAGCTAGAGCAGGGCAGTGTTCTCATGCCCCTTTATTGACTCGTCAGCCCAGTTAACTGAAAATCATTGACTAGTGGGACCGACTGAGCACCACTTGGATAGCATAAAAAAAATAATAAAATCTTCAATTTGCTTACCGCACCTAGAGAATCAAGAATATACTAAAATATTACCGTAGAAAATTTGAGGATTGCTGTTTTCACTGTTATTGTAAATTAGTGATATATAGCATACTATGTAAGTTTTTTCAATATGATTGTGACACTTTTCCTTTTGACCTTTTCTCATTAGCTAATACAAGGTAGTACATTTTTCATCATATTTTGTCATATTCATGATGTAACAAGTCACAATTCATTGACTAAGTTAATTTAAATAATTTGTGTTAATGTTTTTGATTTGATACTTGTAACCTTGGGGGAAAAAGTGCTTTTTGCAAGGCTTTCATGGAAAGGAAAAATAATTTAAGTAACCTTACAGAATTCAGAGAAGAAAAATAGATCATGAATCACAAGTTACTGATTTTGCTGGCTTTCTCTACTTGATCTCTTCCTTTCATGAGACTTGACTATTTAACATATATGCTAAATAGAACACCTTAAATTTAGAATTTGTTCGTGTGTTCTGTGTACTCTTTAGTTACTTTAACCTTTCTTAGTTGTAAATAAACTGAGAATCTGAACTATTTCTATGTAATACTTCTTAATCCACAGAACCTTGAAGAGGATCCGAGATAATTGTGAATTCTGTTCTTAAACTGAAATCAATTATGTTTTGAACCTAAGAGAGAGATCCCAGAGCAACAATTCCTGAATTTTCCTTTCTTCCTACTACACTCACAATGCTTCTAAGTCATTTCGTACTTTGAGATCTTTTGCAGACCCTACTCCTATTTTCTAGTTTTGAGCTTTTTCATGTAAATATGTACGTTTCTGCTACACAGAGACTTCTGTGAGTTTTTGTCACATGCTAACAGTACTGTAAGAAATTACTGTATATTTCTTAACAGTAATTCTGCAATGACTAGTTGTCAGTTGAACATATAGATTTGTGATTAATGCCATTTTTAAGTATTTTGTATTTCTTTAAATTCATTTTACTGACTGCTCTTCTCCCTAATAATCAGGTAGCAAGAAAACGGCACAAAGTTATAGGCACTTTCAGGAGTCCTCATGGCAATACCCGACCTACGGCTTCTCTCAAGCATATTCATTTAATGCCGCTTTCTCAAATTAAGAAGGTATTGGATATAAGAGAGACAGAAGGTATGCTCATTGGATGAACCGTTGGGAAATGAAAATTGTCCACATTCGCTGTAGGTTAGATTTACCGCCTTACTTAATTTTCAACCTTGAAATTGTTTGCTTAAGTCACACAGTTCTGGTAAGCGTCTGTTATACTTCTTGCTGTTTTGCAGAGTGCTACTCTGAGTATAGGAGTACACGTATCTTTAAATTGGTATTTCATAAGAAATTTGAACAACTCACACTGTTATCTTTGTACATAATTGTTAAATACGAGATTTAATAAGGATTACATAATCATTTTTTAAAAATCCGTTGTGGGGAATTAGCAATTATAAAAACTTAGTTTTTACAGTAGGTTCTATTTTCGCATGTCGAACACAAAACATTTTGTCGCAGTTTTAGTATTTAGTTATTTTATTTCTTTGAACTTCATGTAAGTAGATTCAGTTACTCAAATATTATAATGCCATGTTGAATTAAAACATAAATTCCACATTGTAAGAAACCTAGGAAAAGCTTCATTGGGGCCAAAAACGTAGTTCTAGGGCCAACATTTTTCGAGTTGGCATTTCGAGTCCCTGGCACCAAGTCCTCCACGCACCAACAGGAGAGGTCCTTGAGCACAGCCAGGAGTAAGTCCTGAGCAGTTCTGGGTGTGAACAAAAACATACAAGAAGCTTCGTTAAAATTACTAAATGCCATGGAGAAAGTACTGCATACTTAATGGCATCAGATTGTCATTTTTGTTTTCTCACATGGTCATGTGGTGGTAGTTCCTGTTTTAAATTTTTTCCAGTGTTTCAATTTGATATAATGATTTTTCTCTCTCCAAAAATCGAGAGGGTGAGAATAGAGAAGAGATAGTTTCATTGGAATTTTGTTGCTTTCTGGGAGCTAGCGTAAATCTCGCCATTTTCCAAGGAGTAAAACTTAATGTTTATGATTATTCTGCAACCCTAGATTGCCGTAATGCGTTTGCTCTGCTTGTGAGACCACCAACAGAGCAAGCGAATGTGCTGCTCAGTTTCCAGATGATATCAGAGGAACTTCCAAAGGAAAATTGGCTGAAGATGCTCTGTCGACATGTAGCCAACACCATTTGTAAAGCAGATGCTGTAAGTTCTTAAAACCCTGTGATAATGGAAGTTTAAACTTTGCGGCAATGCGTAAGGAGTAAACTTGTATGTTTCTAAGAGTTGTTAATTACGAATGCAGGAGAGTTTTAGCTATGGGTATCTGAAGGAGATATAACTGGTGATTTGAATGGCTTTTGAAGTAGAAACATGAAGGTTCCTTTGAGAGTCTTGCTTACATGCATGCCCTAACAGTCGTACTGCTCCTGTGGCTCTCATTTAGGGAGGCTTCTGGGATTTGTAATATGCTAGGTGCTTTTCATTGCTGGTCTTTGACCACCTCACTTTTTATAAAATGGAGGGTATTTAGTTTATTCTTTCTTCCCCCTTTTTTTTTTTTTTTGTTTTTGGGTCACACCTGGCGATGCACAGGGGTTACTCCTGGCTCTGCACTCAGGAGTTACTCCTGGCATTGCTCAGGGGACCATATGGGATGCTGGGAATCGAACCCAGGTCAGCCGCGGGCAAGGCAAACGTCCTACCCGCTGTGCTATCTCTCCAGCCCCCTAGTTTATTCTTTTATTCAGGAGTTGTAGCAGTTTGCTCTTCCTGTCAGACAAATTGCCAATTTCGTTTTCTCAGTCCAACCTTTGAAGTCAAATGCCATCATAAATAGATGATTACATTTACTCAATACAGAGTGAAGTGAAGATAAATGAGAAAGTCAAATTATTGAAGTTACATGACTTGCTAGAAATCAGGTAATTTGTACTGAATCTTGAATGAAGTTTAGGCTTCTAGGTGAGGAATTTGATGTCTTGTCCATGTTGTAGTGTCACATAGGAACCCCTCATCTTTGCACAGGTGACATAACTTTAGAATGCATAGATGAGTTTCCATTTCAGGACAGCGTTATACCATGACCGAGATTGAGTTGAACTTTGCTGGGGGAATAAGTATTTATTTTTATCATAGTTAATTCTGACCTTGGAAGGTACTGAAGCGCACTATTCATGACATGTAGGAGATCGTCGTTTATTAAGAGCCTTTAAGTGTTTAGAACAGTCAGAGTTTTCACTTGTTTTTAAAAAATGAAAAAGGGTCAAGAATATTGATAAAAATTAGAATTTGTTCCATTAAAAAGTTCATGGAGAAAACTAATTCTAGTGCATATGCAGTAGAAAAGTATCTAGAAAAATGATGCAGACATCTTTTGTTATAAAATTTACACCCTTCAGTCAAGCTCACATTTTTTTCTTAGTTCTTTCTATAAAAATGGATTGTATATAAGGAGGGACTGCCTTTGCAGAATTACTCCTGCCTTTATCAGGATGCCAATAGCTAGACGGCTACTGCAGTTCTTTCCAAATTTATAACTACAGTACTGAAGTCTATAGAGTTCAAAGAAATTTCCTCTCAAATACATTTTATTGAATTACTAGTCACAACATGGCCAGTGATTTTAGAACTGAAATATGAGTAGCTAATGAAAAAAAATTCACAGCGTTAACCACAAGATGGCAGCAGACATTTAACAATGTTCGGATTAAATGACAATATTTTTGATGGTAAAATCTATTTCTTTAAGAAGTAAGTTGTACATTCAGTGGCTTCAGTTGCTCAGAGGAGCATTTGCTCCTATTTGTTTTAAGAGGGGGTTGTCTAGGTCACCCTTTCCGGCCAGAGCAGGAAAGAAATCAAGTGGGGGAGGAAGAAGATGATAAAAGAAAGTAAGGACTGTACCTCAGGGTGTTTCACTAATAAAAAATTAAGGTAAGGTAAAGGTAAAGGCCCTCCCGTTGATCGTCGATTTGCTCGAGCGGGCCCAGTAACGTCTCCATTGGAGACTTTGTTGTTACTGTGTCTGGCATATCGAATACTCTCGGTAGCTTGCCGGGCTCTCCGAGAGGGGCGGAGGAATCGAACTCGGGTCGGCCATGTTGGCCGCTTGTAAGGCGAACGCCCTACCGCTGTGCGTGTAATAAAAAATTTAAAAAAATAAAGTAAGGAGGGAAAGGAGGTACAGGGCCTCTGGTGTACTGGTAATGTGGGCGAGTGTTCCAGACCACAGGCTCAACCACACCAGACAGCACAATCACCAGACTTGGAAATGTGTCCGTCAAGGTCCCAGGCTGTTGGGAGTGTGGCAGGGCCTGGTGGAGGGGACGACGGCATGGAGAGGAATTTGGGAACGCCCGTGGAGGGAAGTTGATCCTTGCGTGGGCGCTAGAACCTACGCCCGAAATTCAACTATCTGTAACTTGGTAAATGGCCGTCCTTTTAAGAAAAACGTGAAAGAACACTTCACACGTGGTTTGAAGAGAGGATGGTACAGGATTTAGGTACTTTCTCTGCCTGCTGCTGCGTGAGATCCCCTGAGCAGGTGTGGCCCCCAAACGATTTCAGTTTGGAAGGAAACAATCTAGTCTCGCTTTACACGTGAAACTACGGCCAACAGCTGAACGACTAGAATAGAGGTATCCTTGCTTAAACCCCCGAATAGTTGTTCTTCTTGTGGATGTGATGTTCTGTGTCCTGTCACTTCACATCGAAGGTCAGAGTTCTAATCTGTTACAAGGTTTTCTCTCTCAGAATACGTATTTTTGATCTCTTGCTGAGCTGTGATCTTTCATTGTGCGCTCCATACATCGCCCGAGGTCAGATGCTCGCTCTGCGGAAGTCCCATGACCAAATGTATTTAAGCGGTGCTTCTATTCCCCTACTCTTCTGGGTAGTTGAAGAATCATCTCGAGGGGTGAAGGAGATAGATCGCAGCGTTGTTGTACATGGTTTACATGCCAAAGGCCCAGCTTCCATCCCTGGTCCCTGGTCCCTTAAGACATTGCTAGAGGGTGACCACAAGCACCGGGAAGAGCCCCTGAGAACATATATATATTTCTTTACAAATCAAGCTTATCCCACATCTGGGGGCGTGGGGGGGGGGGGAGGATGAGGCGGGTGTACACATCTGTTAGTGTTCAGTGTTTATTACTGGTTCTATGCTAAGGGTGCACTACTGTCTTCAGCCTCCTGAGCCCACATCTTGGTAATTACCAACTACTTTGAATGGCAGAATTTCCTCTTGTGTTTTAAAGCATTATGTATGTATGTATGTATGTATGTATGTATGTATGTATTGTTTTTTTGGCCTGAGCCAATGGTGCTCAGGGATTACTCCTGGCTCTGCAGTAAGGAATCACTTCTGGCAGACCTGGGCAACTATAGGGGTTGCTAGGGGTCAAACCCAAGTCAGGCGCATACAAGTCAGACACCTAACCCACTGTGCTATCTCTCTAGCCCTTTTTTGTTTTTGTTTTTGGGCCACAACTGGCAATGCCTAGGACTTACGTCTGGCTCTGGAATTACTCCTGGTGGTGCTTGGGGAACCATACGAGGTGCTGGGAATCAAAACTGGGTTGACCACATGCAAGACAAGTGCCCTACTCACTGTATTATTGCTCTGGCCCCTCGTGTTTTATTTAACTTGAAAAACAAACAAAAAACCAGTAGTTTTGGGCTAGGGAAATGAGGCAAATGATAGAGCATATGCCTAGCATCCATAGGGCACGTTTGATCCCTGGCACTCATGTCACTCCAGCTTCAAGCAGTACCATCCACCCTGGTGGCCCTGAGTACTTCTGAAGGCACAGCACTGAACCAAGAGGCCTGTTCCCCTGTACCTGAGTATTGCTGCCCAGGGTATCTGTGTCCTCAGCACCTTGGGATGTGGCTACTTTTTTTTTTTTAAATGACATTTTAAAAAACTATCGATGGCAAGTGCTGAACTCTTGCTTGGTTAGGATTAGATAAGTAACCATTGGTCAGTTAACACATGAATCAAGTAAGAAAGACCTGTATCAGCCAGGGGGATTTGATTTTCCAGCGAAATTAGAGAAGCTTTAGGAAACTGAGACTCTTGAGAGGGAGTGACAGTTCAGTGGGTAAGTCACTTGCCTTGCATGTGATGATCTGGTTCTGGTCCCCAGCATCCCTGATGGTCCTCTGGACCCTGCCATGAGTAAGCCCTGACCACCACTGGATGTGGCCCAAAAACCAAGAAAAAGAAAAAAAGGTTCATTGCCTGAGTGTTAGTGGTGGAGAACTAAGGCAAAATTGTAGACCCAAAGTATAATGTTTAACATCTTGTGTTTATAAGAGAGTTTAACTTTTCATTTCAAAGGACTTTGGTGTCTTATCTTGTTTTAGCCTTATGATTACTATGGGTTGAGTATACTAGGAATTTTCTACATTTTGTAGATGAGAAAATTTTGAGATAAACCAATAATCACAGGTTGTATAAAATCCTCTCCAAGTCATAGAATTGCAGTTCAAGAAAATAATTCATAGTGTTAGAATAGTGAGGCAGCTTGCCAATTAATAGCATAGATTTATATATTTAAAGTGAAATTGACTATAGGAATATGCAAAAGCATGTCATTTAACTTGTTTCTTTTGAAAGCCCAAGTAACACTGCACTGTAACACCGTCCTCCCGTTGTTCATCAGTTTACTCGAGAGGGCACCAGTAACGTTTCCATTGTGAGACTTGTTGTTACTGCTTTTGGCATATCCAGTACGCCAGGGGGAGCTTGTCAGGCTCTGCTGTGGGGGGTGGGATACTCTTTCTAGCTTGCCGGGCTCTCCGAGAGGGATGGAGGGATCGAACCCGGGTCGGCCGTGTGCAAGGCCTTACCCGGTGTGCTATCGCTCCAGCCCGAAAGTCCAAGTATAAGTTTCAATATGTTAACTTTCTCAAGAGATTAATATTGTCTCAGATTTACCCTTGCCTCCATAATGCGCTTTGCACGTATGTATACACAGAATTTTGTACCAAGTTTTGAGGTCGGAAGCAGCTACCTAAACTTCTAATTTCTGTCCATTGCTACTCTAGGAATTATTGTTCTCTATCTAGAACCACTGGTTTAGAATCTATCAGTGTTGACTAATGGCATGTTGCACAAATAATATCAGCAAAAATACTGTGTAGAGTTTATAAATACCCTTATGAGGATCTGACTGTAGCACTGTCCTCCCATTGTTCATGGATTTGCTCCAGCAGGCACCAGTAACGTCTCCATCTTGAGACTTGTTGTTACTGTTTTTGGCATATCAAATACACCACAGGGAGCTTGCTGGGCTCTCCCAGAGGGACGGAAGAATCAAAACAGTGTCGAGAAGAATCAGACCCAGGTTGGCTGCATGCAAGGCAAATGCCCTACCTGCTGTGCTATTGCTCCAGCCCTGAGGATCTTATTAAGTGCTTTAAAGGTTTGATTGTAGAGGTAGTTGTGTATTTTTCTTTCTACATTTTAAAATTATTTTTAAACTTTATAACAGGAGAACCTTATTTACACTGCTGATCCTGAAGCCTTTGAAGTAAATACAAAAGATATGGATAGTACATTGAGTAGAGCGTCTAGAGCAATAAAGAAGACTTCAAAAAGAGTGAGTCTTATGAAATGATTATTTACCATATCTCCAATATGTATTTTTCAGAGCATATTAAATTACCATTGCTATTTGATTTCAGGCAATGACCTGTGGAGTTAATGAGTTTTGTTCAGTGCGTTCTTTGAACAGTAATTATAAGTTCTTGTCCCTCATCTTCTTGTTATAGTGATACTACTATGCATTATACTTTTGTAGGAATGTGCTAATGGTTTTTAGTAAAGAATTGTAGGAATGTACTAGTTAGTTAAAAATGTGTCCGTTCATTTTAAATATTTGGTATTTTTCAGCAAAATGTCTGTAACAAAATCAGGAAACCTTGAAGCTATTGTTGTGTGTTTTTTTTTCCTTCTAATGTTGAACATTCCTGTTTACCTTTTTCAGAATTGTTAAAGGCAACATAAGAATGCTACCATCAGGGCTTTTTAAAAGTAGAACTAGAATTTAAATATTCAAGAAAGATTAGCAGTCATTGTTCTGCTGCTGGGTTCACTTAAATTTATTGTTTTCTTTGTTTTCAAAGGGAGGCCTTTTATTTTAATCATCTTTATATTTTCCCAGCATTTAGCATGAATGATACTAGATAAAAACTTTCAATGATGGTTCAAATGACCTTCTGTACCTTATCAATAAAGAAATTGAGTTTAAGTGGTTTTGCACTTGCGTCTCAGAACTCTTTTGTAGCATAATCAAGCAAGAACCCAAATTCTCCTCCCTTGATCCTATTTCCTTCTGTTTTATGTCTTTGTTGTGCTCTGTGAATGCATGGTGGAACGGCCTACATTATACTGCAGTTTCTCACTACTTTGTCTAAATTCAGTCATAGATCGTTGGTAGAAAAAAAATGATGGATCTTTGGCTTTCTGTTTGTGTGATTCTTACCAGCTAGGTGTCTAGCTCACTTCACTGTAAGTCTTCTTATCCTCTAGGTGACAAGAGCCTTCTCCTTTTCCAAAACACCCAAAAGAGCCCTACGGAGAGCTCTTCTGACATCCCAAAGTTCTGTGGAGGGAAGAAGTCCTCCCGGCAGTGACAAGCATGTATTGAGTCGTTTGTCTAGCACATCATCGTTAGCCGTAAGTCAGTTTGATTTAAAGGGTAAATAACTTAGATTCATGGAGTTGTTCAAGTCTTTAGGATTGAAATCCCAATGCCTCCGAATCTCAGTGCCCCAGCCCGTGAAGTACCTCATCGTTTGACAGGCAGCTGAGAAAAACCTCAATGAACTAAATCTATTCATTTGTAGTTGATTTGTTGTGAAATTGTACTGGGGTTGAGATATGTTCTAAATTCTGTAGAAAAGAACCATGTTTCATGGCCAGAGATAGTACAGTTATATATATATATATATATATATATATATATATATATATATATATATAGTAATATATCTCTTTTTTTTTATAAAATTTTCAGTCTACCCTCCCAAGGGTAAGAGGAGGAGTTACTGGGGCCTGAGTGACAGTGCAGCACGCAGGTCACTCTCCTTGTGTGTAGCCAACCTGGTTTTGATCCTGGCACTCCGTGTCCCCCAAGCCCCACCAGGACTGATCTCTGAGCATTGCTGGAGATGGTCCCAAAGGAGAAAAGAAAGTGGTAGCTGTCACTTAGGACTTAGGTCACCCTCAATCATTTTCTTATTGTTATTCCTATTTTTGTAGATGAGAAAGGAAAAAAGTTAATATTGCTTATTTTTTATTATTACTGAAAGGGATAAATAAACCAGTTCTTGTAAGTAAACGTACTCATACATGCATTTGCACATACCACAGATGTTATTTGATTTATATACTAAAAAGCAGTTTGAGTAGTAGTTCAGTAGTAGCATTTGAACTTCAGTGTTCACATCTTGGCTCTGTTGTTTACAAGTTGTATTCTCTCTCTCTCTCTCCGTGTCTCTCTCTGTCTCTCTCGATCTCTGTCTCTCACTCTTCTGCTCCCTCTTTTCCTCTCTCCCTTCTCCCAACAGTGCTCAGGGATTACTCTTGGTGGGCTCAGGTGGACCGCATGTAAGATCAGCACCTTACCTATTGTACTATCTTTCCAGTCCCTGTGATTTTTCTCTCTTCGTTTCCTGTCTTGAAATGAATCTAGGATAGTAATTATAAGGATTACTACATGTAAACTGCTTTGAGTAGTACCTGGTCCATTGTGAGTTTTATTTTATAGTGGCTACTTATTATGTTATAAAATTTATACTTGATAGTCAAATGCTTTTATTAAGAAGCTAGTTGTCTTTAAGTAATGCACAGATGTGGAGTTCATGCCCAGTTCAATCTGCTTAGTCAGTGGCTGAATCAATGGCAGTACTCCTACAGTAAAAAAAAAAAAAGTAATACTCCAGAATTCAAGATAAATCTTTGAGTCTGTTTATACGGACTTTTGATCAAGGTTAATCTTAACCAAATGGGAGAGTTGTACTCAGCTGGTAATATAGATATACATCAAGAAATCTGGTCCGTTAAAAATATGTTAAAATTGACTTTAAGTGAGCATAAATTCATTAAGATCAGATTATAAGTTTTATAAAATGCACTATCACGTACGTATTTTATACATCTGAAGTAACTTGTAACATTTTTCAAGTAAAGATAATTGGGTTTTATGGAATAATTTTAGAAAATCATATTATATTTTTGTCACATGTATGTAGACAATATACATAAGTAGTACCGAAATTAAGCCATTCAGGTCCTCTTCTCAATTGCTTATTTCTGTTCTAACAGATTACACATTCTGTTTCCACAAGCAGTGTAATTGGATTTTCTAAGCATGTTTATATTCAGCATTCAAACTCTACTTGTGGGCGTTCTCAAAAATCCTGGTTTCGATCTGTACGCCATTCTGCCTCACGATCTAGCCTTTCAGAGATACTAGAAGGAAATGTTAATTTTTCAAATCTCAAAAAAAGATCTATCCAAGTCATCTTTGATATTTGTGAAGAATTAGGAGATATGCCAGCCAGTAATGGAAACAAGCCTCGTGAAGTTTAATGTGAGCTTATTAGCTATTTAAAATTTATATTTTAAAAATAGGAAGTATGCTTTTTCATTAGAATCATTATTTAGGTGGGTGAAGACTTTGGAATTAACTTTATGACTGCTTTGAATTCACAACAACTTGGTCTGAAAAGAATTTTTTTGCCTCTTGGCACATAAAAATATTTTTGCTCAGTAATTTGTTTTTAAGTCCAGAAAAAAATTCAGTTCCGTTAGATTTTTTTTTTATTTATGGAAGTGATCCATTTTTAAAAAGTAATGATTTTCTTTTAAATAAGGTTTTATAGTCCAAAACATATTCTTAATTTTTGATTTGTGACATTTATATAAATTTATTTTTTTAGTATGACAAGTCATAATTTTCACCTTAGGAAAAATCTGAATTTTTGTAATGCCTACTTAAATTAACAATATATTATCACTTGAATGACAATACCAACCTGACTCTATAAACACTTTATTTTACTATTTCATTGATTACTTGTAGCCCTGCTACTTTTTTGGCACTTAAGTTTACAATTATTCATTCGTATATGTTAAAACAAAATAAAACCTTCCTTTCTAATTCTTTTTCTTTACACACTGTGGTTTTTAAGTGTTTGTATTCTTGTGCATGTTTCTTATTGTTACATATTCTAGTTATGTTTAGCTTTGACATCTGAAACAGTAAATTTAGACAGCTAAACAAATTAATGTTTCTTTTCAGAAGTTTCTTTTCAAGAACTTTTTGGTCCAAAGAAGTTTTTCTTTATTTTTTCTTTTATAACTTTATTGAGATACTGGGAGTTATTTTAACTGGGAGTTAAAAATTCTGTGTTATTTTAGGCACCATGGTTTACAGAATACTTACTAGTACTATTGATACATGGACCATCCCAGCACCATATGTCTTCCACCAGAGTGTCTGCTCTCTTCATCATCCCGGATCCCTTTCCTTCAACTCTTCCCTCTGATACGTTTCCTATCGAAGACCCGTTTTTAGCTTCTGTTACCTTTGGACATTTGTCATTTCCCTACTAGTATTCTTTATGTCCCTCAGATGAGATACCATTCCGTGTCTGCCCCTCTGGTTCTGACTAACTTCACTCATCATGGGACTCTGCAGGTCCGTCCACTTAGCCAACAAATGATGTGATTGCACTTATTGCATTATTCACTTATTGAGACACAGTGATTTACAATACCAGTAATGATGATCAAGAAAAATTCAAGAGGGGGGAAAAAAAAGAGATTGATTATACCTGTACACATGAAAAAGACAAAATAGCATCAAATCATTCATGTATGTGGCTTCAGTCACTGCTTTAGTAACATCTTGATCAGATTTTACATGTAGCAAAATTACACACCCACACAGACACATGCATGCACTATATACACATTTCCACAGTCACACACATAACAAAAAGTTTCTAGGAATATATGACTTCAAAATTTAGAAGATTATTTCCCATGAAGTTATTTCTTAATTTTTTTTATATTATTAAGAAGAAAGCTACCAGGGTGTTTTGGATTTTCTTATTTTTTAGCTTCAAAGCATCTTTAATAATTTATAATTTAACAAAAATCTGAAACAGCAAGCCAGTATCTATTTTCTTTTTCTTTCTTTTTTTTTTTTTTTTTTGCTTTTTGGGTCACACCCGGCGATGCTCAGGGGGTTACTCCTGGCTCATGCACTCAGGAATCGCTCCTGGCGGTGCTCCGGGGACCCTATGAGATGCTGGGAATCGAACCTGTGTTGGCCATGTTGGCTGCATGCAAGGCAAACGCCCTACCCACTGTGCTATCGCTCCAGCCCCCCAGTAACTAATTTTCACCTAAGTGAATGCAGTCAACTAGTCTAGCCATTCGTTTTCGAGACTAAGATAGTTTCACTTGCTCTCTTCTCACCTGCTTCCCTAATTTTAATTTCTTGTATTTAATCAAGAAGTTTGGTACGTTAAAGTGTTTTTAATCAATTTCTGTGCTGATTTATTAAAATCGATATGTATGATGCTGAACTATGTTAAAGTTTCTTAAGAGAAAAAAACTAAATGTCGCTTCCTTGTCTTTACACAGGGCATTCCATCTCCCTCACTTGTCAACCTTCCTTCCTTTTTCGAAAGACGAAGCCATACTTTAAGTAGATCTACAACTCATTTGATATGAAGCTTGCAAGAACTTCTAATTTATAGAAACTTACAAACACCTCACATTCAAATAAGAAACTAATTTTTAAATGGTACTTGTTACTAACATTTGGTCAAAGCGGAAAATCAGAAGATTGGTAACACTAAACGATGCCATTTGACTTTTTCTTTAAAAAAATTTGTTTTAAGTTAAGCTCAGGTAAACAAAATTGATTTTGATTTAACTTATGTCTACTCAGATCCCTCATTTGGAGGCCAACAATTTGTTATTTGTAATGTCTGTACCTGCAACCTGGTAGAGTAAATTTTGCTGGTGAATGTGAAACACTGCTGTGTAGTGTCGTACTGTAGTTGTGTAATGCCCATGAATGAAATTTTAGAACTACATTTTTGTATATTCCTGCTTGTGCAGAAATTAGGTAATATTACAGTACTTACTAGATATGAATCTACATGGATTAAGTTGGTGGGATCTTGTTTCACCTGTGCTGTTCGAAGTGTTTAGCTGCTCCTATATTGTGTTCTCAAATGTTAAGATCTGTATGTGTTTAAAAGAGATTTGACCTTACTAAGTAAGTCACAGGAGATTCTTTCAGAATATTTTTACAAGTGCAGATACAGACAAAGAGATTTAAAAATACTGTATATTTTGCGTAAATTTGACATTGGTTTATACTTAATAGCTGTTTCAGAGGGGATTTATGCATAGTGGTAGCATCTGCTAGCAAGTCCTAGTTTAGTTGGGTAGTACGTGGGGTTTTATTTTGAAGGATAAGACCATGGTGAAATTGTGGTAAAGATTGTTCATATTCTTTCTGAAGTAATTCTAATGTTGGCACCAGTGACACTAATCACCTATAATTATAAATGTATAAACATGTGTGTGGTCAACTTTGTATTGTGGTTATATAATTAAATATAAAATGGAAGTATATCCATTTGCTTTTGTAAAATAGTTTTTAAGCCCTGATGTTATCTTTTACAACCGTTTCTCTTGGTAATTAGTAGTATAAGAATAGCTTTCTATGAATAAATGCATTTTTATTTTGTATCTGTTCAGAGAGCACTGCGAATCTATAATTGTCATTTAACAATTTTCAGTTATCTGCTTTATTATTGGGCTACATAGATTTTATTTTCTATGCCATGTATGTAATATCTTTGAATAGTAAATGACCCTTTATTGATATATTTTGAAAGCAGTTGTATTAGTAAGAGATTTGTAAATAAATACTTAAAATCTGTGTTTTTATTATGTCGTATGTTTAAGCAATTCCTTTCAACAAAGTTTTATAGACTACTATGGGTACTTTTTTCAATTTATATTCTATTATATGTTTGCATACAAATTTGTTGATTCCTTCTTCCACTAATTTTTATTTTGTGTTTGGCTCTTACCTGTGGTACTAGGGGCTGCTCCTGGCTTTGTGCTCAAGAGTTATTCCTGGCTTGATGCTCAGGAGACTGGTTGGCCCTGGAGATCAGACTTGCCACGCAAGTGTTCTACTGCTGAGCCACGTCCTCTGCCCTCCACTCTGTTTAAAATCTAGAATCTGCAGAATGCAGATAGTGTGAGTTCTGTGATATTTTATGTAAAAATTGTTTTTATCTGTGCTTATATATATATATACACACACACCCATGGCAGATATACATATTTTTTTAAAAACAGTGTTTTTATTGCATCACTATGAGATAGACCCTTACAAAACTGTTCATGATTAGGTTTCAGCCATCCAGTGTTCCAACACCCATCCCTCCACCAGTGGACATATTTCCAGCAAGAGTGTCCCCAGATTCCTTCCTGACCCCCCCCCCCCGCCCATCTGCCTCTATGACACTATGACTCTCTCTCTCTCTCTCTCTCCCTCTCTCCCCCCCCCCCCCTTACCCCCACCCCTTTTGGGCATTGTGGTTTGCAAAACAGATACTGAAAGGCTAGCAGGTATATCCCTTTACCTACATTTAACATTCGGTTCTTGTCCAACGTGATCATTTCCAGCTATTATTGCCATCCCGCTACCTTCTCCTTCTTTATCTTACCGACCCTCCGCTCCATTCCCCACATGCATTTTTATCTTTCTATTGGCGATACAACTGCGCTTTTCTCCAAAAGTGGAGTTTCCAGGGAGAGGAAATGACATGAGCTAGGAAATGAAGTTGGAAATGTATGGACTGTACTCAGAATATATCAGTTGCATATGTTTTCATTAAGATGTTTTTGCATATGGAGATTGAGAGAAATGAAAGCCAGTGTGATGAGTTTAGACTGTATATATATATATATATATATATATATATATATATGGTAGAGTGGGAGAAATTGAAACCAAAATATAATCTTTAATGAGCAAGAGAAGGGATCTGCCTCTTCTTGTTAGAGGCATAGGAGTTAGTGCCTGTTACTCTGAAACACATCTTAAATTAATTCCCTATTATATGAATGCGTTAGAAGTTATGCCGAGTCAACCAACAGTCTTAATTGTTTAGCACAGGGGTAAGGCACTTGCATGCAGCCAGTCAGGTACCGCGTATGGTCCCCTCTGCCCTCAAAAGAAGGATCCCTGAACACAGAGCCAGGAATAATCCCCCAGCCCCTAGTTGCCCAATTGAAACCCAAAATAAGAAGAAGAAAATGCCTGACTGAAGGGAAGATCTCAGTTGAAAACAAAGAGAAAAAGATGCGTGAACCAAGTAGCAAATAAAATCTATGCTCGAAGAATTAGATGTAGTACATTATACAATAACTCTTTGAACAAGAAAAGCTGTGGATAAAAGCCAACATGATTTTAGCAAAATAAAGTTTAGAGCCGTGATTTGA